GCCCCTACCTGGCTGTGCAAAAGTCGGGTGAAGCAGGCCCTATAATCCCACAACAGAAGGAATAGAAATTGGTCGGGTAGTAGTAGTATCACTATTTTAGTTGTGTTGCATTTTTGGGTGACATGCAGCAAAGAGGAAGAAATAACAACCGCAGATCAAGGACATTTTCAATATCTCGTCTTGCCGTAGAGGGATTTTAGCTCTTCTTTTTTTTTTTCCTCTCCTTTTTCTCTTTTCATCACAAAAATAACTAAAAACCAGCCCTCCTAAAGCAAGCTAGAGATCTTCTGCATTAACCATGGCGGCTAATGGTGAGATTTGCAGCTCCATTTAAACGGATTTGTTGCATTATTGTTTGACTTAGAACAAAAGAAAATTGAAATGGATTGACACATTTTTAACAAGCATTTGCGACAACATGGATCTCTGATTGACCTTTAACTAAAAAATAAATTTAAAAAAATTGATTGTTTGAAAATTGTTAGGAGTTGTAGCAGATGAACGAGAGGTTAAAAAAAAAACTATTGGATGGAGCACTCGGTTGATTTGACAGTGGAGGCTATGATGCTTGACTCCAAAGCCGCTGATCTTGACAGAGAAGAACGTACCGAAGTAATCTTTTCTTTCTTTCTTTCTTTCTTTTTCTTCACTATTTAATTTTTCTTTTATTTTGCTACTCACTTTTGTGTATATTTTTTTAAATCCATCAAATCTATGTTATCTACATTTTTCACTAAATTAATCAAGTTCATTTTGAACTAAATTTACTTGTTTTCTACTTATTTTAATTGTTATTTTATTTTTTATTTTCAAATTTAAATTAAGATTGTTCACTTATGAATATTTTCGGTTTTTATTATGACAAGATAGAGTTAAATGTGCATTGATGCTTATTATTTCGTTTTAATTGTTGCTGCTGTTCTTTTGTGCTTTGTTTTATCCTTCAATTGTTATTTAGATTCCTAGTTGTTCATTGTTGATACATGCAGGTGCTCTCCCTGCTCCCACCATATGAAGGGAAATCCATTTTGGAGCTAGGAGCTGGCATTGGTCGATTTACTGGTGAATTAGCTCCGAAGGCTGGTCACTTTATAGCTTTAGACTTCATTGAGAGCGTTATAAAGAAGGTGACTGAAACTCAACCTGGCAGAAATTGTTTAGTTTGCTATTTAATAAGGGGCTTGACTAGATTTTCTCTTTCTATTTCCTTAATTGCAGAATGAAAGCATCAATGGACATTATAAGAATGTCAAATTCCTCTGTTCTGACATGACTTCCCCAGATTTGAAATTTTCAGATGGATCACTCAACTTGATTTTCTCAAATTGGCTGCTGATGTATCTCTCAGATAAAGAGGTAAATTTTAGTAGTAAAACTTGATTCTCTGCTTTTTGCCTTATTGGTACATTCAAGGAAGTCCCACCGCCCCGGGGGGGTGGGGGGAGGAGATTCGAAAATTGAGACTTATCCCTCCTAGCAATGGATAAGAACTACTAACCTGGATCGTTTAATTCTTTGCTTAACTGAACTGTTGATTCTTTGAAGCAAATACCTTATGCTAAGGTTTTTTTTTTTTTTTTTAACTGGATGTTTATTTGGATTTATATCATCCATGATCTACAAGTATATACTCCCTGGAATGTATTTCATAGCTTCTTCTCCAATAAAAAGAGAAATAAAAAAAGAGGAGTTCGCAGAGGCATGTTAGCTATTGATTTTAATCTTTTTCGCCTCCCAACTATTACATTTCTGGTTTGGATTTACAAGTTAACCATTTTCTTTGAGTATATTTCCGTCCAAAAACCATCATTAAATGCAGGTTGAGAATTTGGCAGAAAGGATGATGAAATGGTTGAAGGTTGGTGGACATATTTTCTTCAGGGAGTCTTGTTTTCATCAATCTGGTGACTGCAAGAGAAAGCACAACCCAACTCACTACCATGAGCCCAGATTTTACACAAAGGTTTTGGGCAGACCCATCTTTAATTCGATCTGATCTGAGGTTTGAAATATATATGAAACAGAGTGAGCTCATCTTTTGGGCTCTTTTAAACATATATTTGTCATGTATTTTAATGCAGGTCTTTAAAGAATGCCTTGCAACTGATGATTAAGGAAATTCTTTTGAACTTTCTCTTTTTGGCTGCAAGTGCATTTGAGCTTATGTTAAGAACAAAAAGAATCAGAATCAGGCAACAAAACATGATCTCATTTATTATTATATTTTTTTCGCTGTCTTGAATTGATTACTGACAAGATACAACATTTGTTTGCATATGCAGATTTGCTGGATCTGGCAAAAAGTTGGTTCAGATAATGATAGGAGATTCCAGCGCTTCTTGGATTCTGTTCAGTACAAATCTAATAGCATACTCCGTTATGAGCGCGCCTTTGGACAAGGATTTGTGAGCACAGGAGGAATTGGTATCCCTTTTCAACCAAATATTTGTATTTGTTTATTTAAAAAGAATTTGCTACGCATAAGCAGAGAAAATGGGGAAAGAAGATGAAACATGCATATTAAACAAGAAATATTATCTCTCTTACTTTTTAAAATTTTAATACCACATACAAAAAGCTTTGTCTAGGATTTGTGTATCTAGTAGCAGAAATTGTTTTGGAGTAGAATTTCATCTTTTCCACTGTAATGTCTGAACATCAAAACAACATCTCTGGCTATAATCAATGCTGTTTGAAAGTTTTACATTTATCAAATAATGAGATTATATAGGGTATAGCATTGCTTCAATACTTTCTATGTCAGGTAAATAATGGTTGTTCTATAATCTCAAGGTCCTTTCATAACTCCCTCTCGGGCTTAACACTTTCTTTTGGTTCCTCTTATTCTAGTCAATCTTATCACGGGCATCCTCTAAAATGAAACTCGTTTCGAGCAGAAACAACAAAAGAATTTGTGGGGAAGTTGGATCTTAAGCTTGGCCAAAAGGTTCTAGATGTTGGCAGCGGCATTGGTGGAGGTGACTTTTATATGGCAGAGAAATTTGATGTCCATGTTGTGGGCATCGATCTCTCAATAAAGATGATATCTTTTGCGTTTGAACGAGCTATTGGACTCAATTGCTTAGTGGAATTTGAAGTTGCTGATTGCACTAAGAAGATTTATTCGGACAACACTTTTGATGTTATCTACAGCCGTGACACCATTCTACACATTTAAGTAAGAGGACTAGATACGTAATCTAACGTGGGCTTATGTTTGTTCAGGATTTTAAGAAGTTTCTTTATTATTCTTAAAAATGTTTTCGCTTTGAGAAGATTTAAAGATTTACGCATTAGCATCAAAATGAGGATCTCTACAGGGAGAGCTACTATCTAATGGAAAAGAATTAAATGGTTTTGATGTAGTCAACCTCATGATAATTGCTTTGTCATTTCATTTGGTTCGTTCATTCTACTCCATGTCCTGATCAACTATATGAAGAATTGTCAAACGTTTTGGGTTTTTGTAGATCCAGTTTGCCATATTCTTTCACGTTCCGTATCTAAAATTGACTTTCGGGACAAACCTGCACTGTTTAGATCTTTCTACAAATGGTTGAAGCCAGGGGGCAAAGTTCTAATAAGTGATTACTGCAAAAGTTCTGGGACTCCATCATCAGAATTTGCTGAGTACATCAAGCAGAGAGGCTATGATCTCCACGATGTAAAAGCATATGGCCAGGTATATTCAAATTATTAATCATTTGTTGTTTTCATTTCATATACATTTTGTTTTTCTATTAACAATTTCTGACATCATGAGTTGCCCCTTTGTCTTGTTTTTTGTTTGCAGATGCTTAAGGATGCTGGTTTTGATGAGGCCGTTGAAGAGGATCGAACTGATCAGGTTTGGATAAATCTACCCCTTTCTTTTGTATCTTTTGTATAATTGTGAAATTATGAACTCTGTTAGGCATCCCGAGCTAAGCAAATCGTTTTCTTGTGCTTCAGTTTATACAAGTTCTGCAGCGTGAATTAAACAAAGTTGAGAAGGACAAGGACGCATTTGTCTCTGACTTTTCTCAAGTGATTGTTTCCATCATTTTAACAACCAAGGGTTTTTGTTCTTGTTTTTGTTTTGTTTTTTGGTTTTTTTGTTTTTTTTTGGGTGATGTTTCACCTTCACTAATGGTACTTAATTCTTTTGCAGGAAGACTATGACGAAATAGTTGGTGGACGGAAGGCAAAGCTGATAAGGAGCTCATCTGGCGAGCAGAGATGGGGCTTTTTCCTTGCCAAGAAGAACTAATTCATGCTTCTCATCTTATGTTACTTTCTATTTCTCTAATGAAGGTTTCCTTTCCATAATAATAATAAAAGAATACTGTTAGCAATATGCATCACAAAACTACTTAATGGTGCAATGATCAGCTGTTTCCAGGCGATGACCGATATTCTGATATTATGAACTAAACATCCTATCTTTGCCTTGAATAAATTATCCCCTTTCAGAATTTCTGGTACTTGGTTTAGATTGTAGACCTTGTTGAATGAATTGGATGGTATGAATCCAATAGCTCCACATCCTTGAAGTTTCAGTATTATATTATCTTTGAAACTTAAAAAGATATTTTTACCTTGATTCTGCATCTGTGTTTGTCCACGTGTTTGATGGCGCACAGCAAGTATGAGAAGATTGACAAAGTTCATGAAACTGGTGCACAATTAATACTATGCACATTCAGTATTTATCACCATTATGCTGCTTTGATTGCCTTGCATCACATTGTTCGCAGCACTGCCGGTACTGCTGCTTGATGCGTAGCCAGCCACCGATCGTACTTGCATTATTTTATGTTGCTCGATTCTTCATTTTCTATGAAGTATTTGTGTTTAACATCTATGTGATGAACATGGATAGGAAGGTTTAAGCTTTCTAATATAAAGAAAAAGCTTGAAAGAAAATTAAACGTACGGATGTTGCACATGTAGTTGTATATAAAACCTCCCATCAGGCTTGAGTAACATAGCCGGCAGTACCCTTTTTGCTATCATTGCTAATGCCATCTCCGTTTCATCTCACGAACAAGAGGCAAAGGAAATCATGAACCAATAAATAGCTTGCTGCAAGAGTACAGATTAGAAGATTGAAGGTTTAGAAAATTTTCCATTGATGCTAAATGGCGGGAAGAGTTTTGGAAGCAGGAAGAATTTAGCATGCACATAAATGTATCAACATGGCTTAAAGCCCTTAAATTCTTATGCATCTTGATTTGAATTGACTTCAAACATATAGAATTTTCTACATATATACAACATATAGTTTATCAACTACTAGCAATACAAGCAGCCAGGGTATAGTTAGAAAAACACTTACGAGATGGATCACTTAAAACATATCTATCATATCCTTTCTGGATCTGACAACAACTGGTGAAGTAGATAGCTTTTTCTGTAATTCTCCTTCGTCTATTTCTGAAACCAGCAGGAGATTGCCTTTCTGAATTCCTCTTTCAACCTCTATCGATTCCTTTGAAGTGGACGATCTGAATATCTGCACCATCAAGCTTCCACCTATGATGATATAATAAAGCTCAATCAATTTTGTTTCCCTTTTAGCAGGGGAGCTGTGCTGTCCTTTCATTAGCGAGAAAAAGGCATGTACAAAGCAAACGCTTTTCCTAGGATCCAAAATGAAAATGGAAACAAATCCTTTCTTTTATTAATTAGACGAAAGCTTCATCATTTTGGTGATCAACTTCCATAATATTTCAAATACTAACACAAGCTTAAATTATAAAATGAAAATCACTTACCAAGCACAAGAGCAGCCCCAATCCATCCTGTTGCACCCCACCTTTCGCCAAGGAGAAACCATGCAAAACCTGCTCCCCATAGTGGCTCCATTCCATAAATAATGGCTGTTTCTGTTGCTGACACTTCGCGCATAGCAGCAATCTGTATGGGAAAAAAAGAAAGAAACAATTTCTATAAGTGATTCACCCAAATTAAAAAATGATATAAGATTGCCTAAAAATGCTGCATCTCAAAATTGCTGCACAGTGAGCCGGCTGAAGGTTATAGAATGCAGGGACTCTAAATGGATTAAATGGCCTTGCAGTCCATGGATATCATCTTTTCAGTGATTTCTTGGAACATCAGGTCATTATTATCTGTACTATCGTTTCTTTACATTTATTGAGTCAGGATGTATTAATTGATAGGTACTAGTTGGAATGAAGATCAATATGGAATGCAAAGCAAGGATGCTGCAAAAGCTTCCATCTTCGAATTGCCTTGAACAGACAATCAGACGAGCAACATGCCCTGAAAGTCGAAACATTTCTGAAAAGCAACAGATTCTTATTCACGCTGTTATCACTGAAATTTATAGCCTTGCATGTTATTCTCAAAATGAGGAATTATTTGAGCTGCTAATGAGAGCGATTTCAAAGTTCATTCTTGTTTGTACCTTCTACATGAATAACTAATTCACTACCAGAAATTTAAAACAATACCTCTATCCAAAGGCACAATCCAGTTGAGAATATGCCTGTATATAGTGCAGGTACCCATGGAAAGGTTACCATCCAGTCCCATAACAGTTCCCATGTCAAAGATGATTGATCAAAATCTTGGTTGCCATCAAACCATCCTTCAATTACAACCCAGAGTGTTGAAAACAGAGCAACAACACAAACCTAAAGGAAACCATGACATTAATACTTAAACGGTGAATGTTCCATTATGATCCACATAATTAGCACGAAATGAATTTATATATGTATAATATACAAAGGTAGTCAACTGTCTGTCCAGCAACAAACCTCATATCCAAGAAGTGCCAAGAAGTTCTCCTCCTTTGTGCTTCTAGAAAGATGTTCAGTCCGAAGCATGTGAATTCCAAAAAATATTGAGCTCAAAAAGCTTAACAGATCTCCAAACTGAAAACGGACAAGATATGGTCAAATTAAAGCATTAAAATTATTTATGATTATATATATATGAAAAGAGGAATGAGATTTGCTTAACGCTGTAATATCTTCATTTTTGGTGTATTCTTTATGTTATGAGCATAAAAAAATGCTGTCAAAAACCCATATATATAGTGCTTACATTTGGCGGAGAGCCACTCCATTCAAGCATAGCAACACCAAGTGCAGACATGAGAACACCAAACCAAGTATGAGCAAGTACTACAGCTCCTAACATGCTATCGAGCATTGGTACCACGATAACCTGTTGCATCAGTCGGAATTGATTATATTTTTCAGAGGTGCACCTCTATTTAATGTCCATGTCCTTTAAGAGCAAAACTAACTTATGAAGAGTTGTGTTAATGCTTGCTGGGATATCATTTTCATGGCCTGCTTCATCTTTTCAGCAAATGGCTCATTAATGATTATAATGAAAATACTATTAAGCATCTATATGTATATATATGCTTGTAGAGTCAAAACTCAAAACATACTGTAAACAGAGAAATAAATGATGCACGCCCAGCATCAGCTGTAATTAGACCAAGTGCCTCAATAAAGTAACCCAAACTGACCCAGAGTCCCAACTCTATCCCTGCCTTCCGTATCTGAACATCATCTCGTGCCTGAATCACAAATGGTAAGAATGGGATGGCTGACATCACAAACCGCACAGCAGAGAAGGGTGCTGGAGCCATTATAGTTTCCACTGCTTTTATAACTGGAATATCACTTGCTGCAAAATTTGACACCAACGTAATTCTTGATTTCCAACTAAGGTAGCGGAGCTCCACATCATATTTAGCCTAATGGTTCTGTATTAATCATGCCATTTCTCTAGCTATATTCTTGATTAAAAGGATTGTAGGTATATATGTTTAGGACATCAAATGTATATATTACATTCAGAGCCATAGGATTAAAAAGCAATTACAAAGGCTGAATGAACCATTGTTATCTAATGGTACTGTTAGGCCACAAAAGTACGGCTTCCTAACACAAAATTCATTCACACAAAATTCATTCACTTAAACTGAATTTTCTCATAATTTTGAGGCGAATTACTTATCCCTCTGAACTATCTTTCAAAGGATTGTGAAAGATGTTCCACTAGAAATATTTTTGTTATTTTGCTTCGACTTATATTCCCCAGAAGGTGGATCCCCCTCTAATAGCCCCTAACAAATTAAATAAATGCATGTATTAAGATAGGAAGGCTTCTTATTCCACAACAACCAAAGCACTCTTTCATAAACTACGGGATTTTACTTGGAAAACAAAATGATCCACACTAATGGATTAACAGAATAGTAGCAAAGTTCAAGTATCCTCTCATATTGATAGTTTTAGATTTCAGAACTTATTATCTAATTCTTTATCTTCTTTCTTACCTATCAATTGTATAGTTTTAGTTCATCTAGTGCTCTAGCTTCTGAACTAAACTTAAAAATCAAATTAGATAAAAAAGCAGAAACATACCAAAAACAATGGTGATGAAATTGAGTAAGAGAATACTCCTGATCTTCTTGGATGTAAACAGAAGTTTTTGCCAAAAAGGCTGCTTTCTAACAACCATCTTTTCTTCAATCTCCACATTTTTTGGTGTGGGTCCTTTCTCAACCTTGTCATCACTATGCACATATGTCAAACAACCACCTTTGCTTCTTGCATTTGATACATACTTTTTGTTGTTTGAGTAAGCAGCGACAGGAGAATTTGAACAAAAACAGCTCAACGAAGATGAAGATGTGGAATCAAAAGACAAAGTAGCCAAACTCTGCCTTCTATTTTGTACATTGGATGTAGTGGATAAGAAGAAAAGCATGGGATTCAAATTACGGCAACGAGTGGAACCATAGCCACTTGATATTGCTGTCAGCTTCCATGTTCTTGTTAATGGGCAAACCATGGCTGATAGATCTGGATCGCTGCCTTTCTCTTCAATTTATTTGCTGAATCAGCTTATCCATGTGAACCAGAGATTAAGTTGTATTTTTTTCCTATAATTATTGAACAATAAAGTAATAATTAAGATTTTGTAAATTGAAAAAATGTGAGCCATGAAAATGCGGGAAACAGACAAGTACGCTGATATTTTTGCAACATTCAGCAAGGAACCGAAAATTTTTAATGCGGGAAATAGATGGTACTACCAAATTTAATAGACACCATTAGCATTTTAGCAATGATGATCAATGAATTAAATCCATTACATGTGACAATTTTATTTTTCATATTTTTCTTATTGGCATGTAAAAATGAGAAATACCCTGCGATTCATAGATTTTTTTTTTGAATAATTCAAATGTCATTTAAAAAGTAAATAAGAGTTTATATAGTTTTGCATAGTTCTAGGATTTTTAGATTTTGAAAGAAAATTAATTTTTAAAAAGATGATATTAAAAGAGAATGTATGATTTTTAAATTTTATTCATAACATTTTTGTATTTAATTTAAAAAAATGTAAAATTATTTAATAAAATCTTTTAATATATTATTTTTAATGACACATAAATAATACGTAATATTTATAACATGCTACATATAAATAATATATTATTTTCATTGAAATTAAAGAATTTTTTTTTTAAATTCATATTTGTAATAAACATAATTTTATAATCTTAATTACTATCTTTATATTAATTATTCTTAAACAGAGAAAATACACAGGTCGACTTTCGAAACAAAATCTATAATGGTTAGAAAGGCATCGTAAATCCCCTCTTAAGGTTTTCAGGGCTCCACCTTAAAAACAAATTTTATACGTAACAATATTAATTAAATGTATTTTAAATTTTATATGTAATAATATAAAATAAAGATATTTTATGTTTTATTTTAATTTTGTTATAAGTAGTAACATCAATTATGTTTTTTTTTTTTTATCTTAAAAGAGATCATTGTTAAAATTTTAAAATTTCAAAAATAAAATTTCAACATTCGTTATGTTTCTTAGATTAAAAATGCATTACTTGTTGAAATTTCAAAATTTCGAAAGTATAGTTTCAATATCCACTATACCTATTATTTTAAAAACGTTATCTTTATTAAAATTACAAAATTTTGAAAATAAAATTTTAATATCCATTATATTTTTATTTTTAAAAACATAATTTTTGTTAAAATTTTAAAATTTCGAGGTTTCAACATCTATCACATTTTTTTATCTTAAAAATGCAATACTTATTAAAATTATAAATAACAAAAATCATATTTACTTTGTAATTTTAAGACATTAAAAAAGATAATATAGTTTGAAAATGTAATTAAGTATGAGTAAATGAAACAAATAATTCACTTTCCCTTTGAAATCTAAAAAAACCTTAAGAAGATAAGAGTTTTATTTTCCATATTTTTCCTTTTTTTGATATTATTGAGAATCTTAAAAAATCTCAAAAATCACATTTTGTAAACTAAACTAAGAAATTAAATTACAAAAATAAGATTCCTAAAATCTCACTTTCTCGCGAATCAAACATCTCAAATAGATTTTATTTTCTTTCACAGAAAATGATTCATCAAAATAGTTGTTAAGATGAATTTAATAAAATAGCTCTAGTTTTATTTTACTAGAATATCGCAAAAGTCAAAAGTAATGCCTTTGATCTGTGTTTGTATAGTACAAAATTTTCAACAACGAAAAAGTTCAAAAATAAAAATGGAAATAAAAATCACTAATGTATATTATTTTGAAAAGTATAAAAAAAAAGACTTGTAAATTAAGGGCTAGCATATGTGTTAATTTTTTTTATTTATTATTGATCTATTTCATTTTAAATAGATCAAGTTATATTGTTTGTTCTTATATTTTGGTCAAATGGTGAAATTAATTTTTTTATTTTAATATATTCAAAATAGATCTTTATACATAAATTAATTTTTTAATTTAATCAAATTGTTCATAATTCAAAATTCTTCTATTTAAATTGATTACGTGCCATTTGACTTTTCTAACGTAGAATTTGTTTGTTTATGTGACTGTTAACTTTATTGACATATCAAAATTTTATGATAAGTTGACAATTTTTTTGACCGCATCAATAGTTTTCCAAGTCAATTTTTTTTTTTTTCAAATTATAGGGCTTGTTTCAGTATTTTGATCAAATGATAGAATTAGTCACTCTACTTCAAACTATTTTGTTTTTGTATTTTAGTTAAATGATGAAATTAATCTTTTTATTTTAATATGCTTAAATTTGATCTTTATACATTAATTAAATTTTGAATTTAATCAAATTGTTTATAATTCAAAAATTTTCCATTTAAATTGATTATGTGCATTTGATTTTTCTTACATAGAATTTGTTTGCTTATGTGATCGTTAACCTTATTGACATATCAAATTTTTATGATGAGTTAACAAAAATTTTTGCTGCATCAGTAGTTTTTCAAGTCAATTTTTTTATTTTTCAAATTGTACAAGTTATTCTTGTACTTTGATTCAATGATGATATTAATTCCTCTACCTTAAATAACAAAATTCACAATTACTTTATAATTTTAGGAGCTTAGAAAGGATAATATAGTCTAAAATACAATTAAGTAAAAGTAAATGAGATAAAGTTTTTACTTTTCCTTCAAAATATAAAAAAAAATCAAAGAGAGAAAAGTTTTTTATTCTCCCTAATTTCATTTTTTTTTAAGACTATTGAAATCTTAAAAATTCTTAGGAATTACATTCCTTAAATCAAATTAAAGAATTAAATTATAAAATGTAAGATCTATAAAAAATCTTATTTTCTGCTGAACCAAACGCTTCTAAATAGATTTTATTTTCTTTCACAAGAAATGATTCATCAAAACAATTGCTAAGATTAATTCAATGCAACAACTCTAGTTTTCTATTACCAGAATATGGCAAAGTGTAAAGTAATGTTTTTGACTTGTGTTTATATAGTATGATTTTTTTCAACAACACGAAGGAAGAAATTCCAAAAATAAAATATGAAATAAAAAATGAAAATAAATATCACTAACGTATATTATTTTGAAAAATAAAAAAGACTTGTAAATTACAGGTTCTCAGCTATGTTAATATTTTTTCTATTTATTATTAATCTATTTCATTTTAAATAGATTAAATTATACTATCCATCATTATATTTTGATAAAATGATGAAATTAATCTTTTTATTTTATTATGTTCAAATTAAATCCTTATACATTAGTTAATTTTTGAATTTAGTCAAATTATTCACAGGTCAAAATTTTTTTATTTAAATTGATCATGCAGCATTTGATTTTTTTTACATAAAATTTTTTTATTTATGTGATGATTGATTTTATTTACATGTCAAATTATATGATGAGTTGGCAAATTTTTTGCCTTACCAGCAATTTTTCACATTAATTTTTTTAAAATTATACTATTATCTTTATACTTGAATCAAATGATAAAATTAATTCGTCTATTTTAATATGTTCAAAGTAAATTTTATACATTAATTAATTATTAAATTTAAAATTTAATTTAATATAAATAAAATAAAACACAGAAATTCTTTTTAGTGCTAATGGGTTGATAAATCGTAACTGGGAGTTGAACCAAACTCGCCTTTCAAAATGATGTCATTTAAACTTGTTATAAAAACCAAAATATCATTTGATTTTTTTCTTTTTTTTCCCCTTTCTCTCTTCTCTGTTTTCTTTCCTTTTCTCTACAAGTCTCGCTGAAAAATTCAACGAGCCTAGATTCTAGCACAGGATTTCCAAAATCCCGAGATTAGACAATTGAAAAAATTATCTTAACAACCCAAAAGTCGCCAATACCTAGAAACTAGCCATTGGCACTGCCATTAGTCGCTGTCTATCAAATACCAACCACCATAAAAAAAAAAAAAAACCCTTTTTCAGATAAAGACAATCCTAAAATAAAAATCCTTGCCTTTTATTTTGTCGTGTATCGCCATCAAAAGCAAATCGAAGCTTTCAAAAAATTCCACTCTTCTTATTACCAACTTTGAAACCGAGTAAAATACCTTAAAAATTTTAAACCCAAAATCTCAAAAAAAAAAAAAAGAAAAGTCAGCCAAAAAATTGTTTCTGATTGTCAGTTTTGCCGTGTTTTCTTGTTGATTGTGTATCTATTTTTGCTAGTTCTGTTGATTTTGAGTTTCTTAATCAGACTTACGTGTTTCTATAAGGATTTTCTTTAAATGTTTTTTTTAATCTTTTATATATATATATATATATAGTCGTATATTAAACAGACTGAAAACAAAAATTATGAAAATGAAATGAAAATCAACAGAAAAAAAGAAAAAAAATGATAAAAAAAAGAAACAGAATAATCCGGTTTATGTTGGGCTTAAAATTCAATTTGAGATTAAAACTCAATTTTCCAAATTAAAGTCCAATTAATAATTTAAAATCTAAAATTTACCAAATTAAAATTCAATTAATAGTTCAAAAGTCCAAAAAAATTATCTATATATGGAAAAAAATACCACTTCCAATTAATAATTTATGTTTTTTTGTGTTTTATTTTAAATCAAATCTTGAATTTGACAATTAGTTGATGTATATAAATTTAATTTGAATATATTAGTGTAAAAGGGTTAATTCCATCATTTTATCAAAGTATATGGACAAGCCATACAATTAAAAAAAATAATAACATGAAAAATTACAGACATAGCAAATTTGCCACGTTAACATAAAAATTTGACATGTTAACAAAATCAACAATTGCATAACAAAAAATGTCACATTATAAAAGTTAAATATCTCATTATTAATTTTAAAAAAAGTTTGAATCATTAACAATTTGAATAAATTTAACAGTTAATAAATTTACAAGAATCCATGTTAAACACATTAAAATAAAATAGGCTAATTTCACCATTTAATCAAAATAAGAGCCAGATACTACAATTTGACCTTTTAAATATGATTCTTTCTCCACTTCATTTGAGCTTTCCATTTCATGTTTCAACACCTGTTATAAACTATAGTAGTGCGGT